AAATATACCAATATGATAAATAGTCACATTTAAATGACAATAGACAGCTGTAAGGATTTGTGTAGTCCCACAAGAAAGTTAGCAGGTTCCTTGACAATAAAGTCAGTTGGATTTTTTTAGTATTTATATTTTTGATAATAGTAGAAAATAATCTCTGTGGGGGACAAGAGTTTATGAATCACATTAACAGGATAATCTTCACCAATGATTTTTTTTTAAGCGTAATTGCACCAGAATTGTCAACTAACCACCACTAAGCTAAAAGAAGACTTGTTTTAAGCGCAATGAAGTTTAGTAGTCTCATTAAACACTTATCAACACCCACTTTTAAATCAAAAAATGTAAAGGTGGGGTTGTTTTTAGACATATTTTATTTCATAGAACAAAATGTTTGTGTTAACCTCTGACATTATTTCAGGCCTCTAACCAAAAAGCCTCTTGACTTAGAGATGGAAGTGCAAAACTGCTTACTCAATCCTGGTCTTTGATTTAGCACTCTTTACCCTGCTTCCCATTCAACACTTTTAATTCCCAGGACTGTAACCTTATGGCTGGCCTTTTGGGCTTTCTGCAACCAGTCCATCTTCCAACAGTCACAGTTGTTTTTATGAGATTGGTTGATTTATTTGTTGGTGACTCTGCAGTTTGTGTGCAGTCAGCATTTCTTCTCAGTGCTGGCCTCATGCTGCCAACTCTTACTTCGGCCTCAGATTCTGTATCAGTCGTTCTCTGATAAAGAGGCCTCAGGTGTTTTCAATCGCTGTCAAAGGCTTCAGATGACTTGCCCAGAGGTTTCATAAGTACTGATCAACTGAAAACATGAAGGTACTTCTATTAAATCGAGGTATTTCAAGAGCTTTCATTGACATTTTGCCATTAGCTCGTGCTCATTACTGACCCTCTTTGATACGCTTACAGCGTCTCTGTGTCTCACAGAGGTTGTGTGTGCTGTTTTTCAGGCACGGCAGGTACTGGAGAGGGAGTTCAACAACCTGTTAGCCTTGGGGACCGACCGTCGACTAGAGGAGGTGACCTCTCAAGCTGCTGCTTTGATCAAATATTGTTGAAAAAGGTTGGAATGCTTGACCTTGCCTTTCTCCCTTTCCCTGTAGAGTGGGGATGACAAGTCTTTTCGACGCTCTCCATCGTGGCGCAAGAGGTTTCGGGCGCGTGAGGGAGGGGTGGGGCTGGGCATGATGGCGGGCTCCATGGAAACGCTGCCTGCTGGTTTCCACATGCCGTCGATGTCCATGCCGCCCTCTGTGAACTTGATGCCCAAGAAACAGCTCCAGTCTGAAGGTGTGTTACAATACTAACAGCTCCTCTACCTCATTTATTTTTGCTATGTTGTGCTTCTTTGTGCCTGTCCTGACTGACTGACTAACTGCATGCTGGTTCCTCTCTGTCCACCTCTCTGTGCCACGTCTGCTCAAGCTCCACCACCGGCCTCACCGAGACTCGACCCCTCGGCCGTGCGGACCTACTCATGCTAACTTCTGTCTGCTTACTAACAGGAGCGCTAGTGCTAACAGGTAAGCTAACAAAACACTTCCTCAAACTGCTAAAACGTACAGGTTAATGTGCTTTTAGCCAGCATTGCCCAGCGGTGTGGCATGACGCAGGAACACTAACTTTACTGACGCAGGCTTATGTACTGATTTTTGATGATGAAATATGTGAGTTTTTACACACAATCATGATTTTACAGGATATAGGTTTGTTCAAAGTCTATAAACGGTAATTCTGAATTACTGCTCAGCCCTGGTGTTCATCTCAGTAATTCCACTACACATTAGCATGTGCAGTGTTTTTATTGTTACATGGTATTAAAGCTGCAATTATTCGTTTATCTATCTATTCTTAATAACTAATAATGTATCTTTCAAGTAAAAATCAAGGGGAAGAAGTTAGGATTGGTCTCAAAAAGCTCTGTTGCTTCTCAAACAAAATTAATCAAGAACATATTTGGCATATTAATCAAATTGATAAAAGGATTTTTATGATGTCTTTAATAACTGCGCAAAACCTTATATTGATTGCTGCTATACGATTTATTTAATTATATATATAAGATATAGATTTTTGGCATTAATCGGCTTCCAGCAATGTAATTAAGATTTCCAATCTTACTATATAGGGTCAAAGCAAACATTAAATCTTTTTCTCACGTTCTTTCATTCCTTCTTACTGTCCTTGTCTTTTTTTCTCTATCCAGTGCATTCTCATGACCTATATGGACACATGCTTGCGGCCTTTTGAGAGTGATATGCCAAATCTGGAGAGGGAGTCCCGGGTGCCACTGGGGAAGGGTCTTCACCCCTCTTGTCGCCCGGCCTCGCCTCCCATCTTTCACCTCTCACCTCTCCTTCGGACACGTGCAATACAGAGGCCAACTCTGACCTTTGAACTCTTGAGAGTGCTCATTGGCTGCGCTCGCTGCTGTAAAGGAGACTCGTCCCTGTCTCTCCCAGTTTACCCCAGTGCTCCCAGTAGCCTTGTTGTTGTGGTGTTGTGCTCCTGCTCCCCTGGTGTCAGCTGTGGGTTCTTGTCCTGGTTCTAATCTCTCAACATGGCCAAGTCCAAACCAATCTTCCAGTGTCATCGCCTCAAAGGCTAAACAAAAGTTGGTTAGTGTAAAAAGAAAATATATAAAAGAAAGCTGATAAGTTATTGATTTGGACTTGGGAATGATGAATACTTGTATAAATGGCAGATCCCACTGCACATTGCCCCTCTACCGGTTATGCAAGGTATTACTCATTTATCGTCTCTGTACATAAAATGGATGACTTATGTTTTTTATAGAAATATTATATATATATATTGGAAATATATATGGAAAATAATATATAATTGCTGTATGAAACCCAATGCCCTGTATTCGATAGTGACTGTTCTCTTTCTCTTCCTCTTTCTTTCTCTTTCTCTCCGTGTCGGACCTTTGTGTGTCTTTTGCTGTAAGTGTGTGAATCGTTAGTGGGAGGGTCTCACTAAAGAGGGGGTGTGTTTCTACAAGGACTCTTCACAGGTTCATGGGTCCAATTCCAGACTTTTCTCTCTTTGCCTCTTCTTCTCCTGTTCTTTCCTTTTCCCCCCTCCTCCTCTTTTGACACTATGTAGCTGTTACCTCTCCTCTTTTCGCCTCTCTCGCCTTCAGTATGACACTATGTAGCCTAGAATAGAGAGAATCCTTTAATATGAAGAGTGTGTGTGTATGTGTGAGTGGGCAAACAAGTCTCTCTATCGGAGACTTGAAGAGAGATTGTGTGTGAAAGGCCGACCCCAGCCATGTGACCATGACTTTTCTCTGTGGATGGGTAGTGTGAACACTGTAGCTCCTCTCTGTTGATTCCTTACTTTCTCTCAAGTCAAACTGTAAACTGCTGCTCAACATCAGCCAATGACAAACACGTCAAATTGCTCAACGTGACGGACTCCTCTAATCCCGTCCCGTCACCTCCCCATTTAGTTGCCATGGAGACGTGCCAGTGAGCAGTCAGTACTCTCGGCTGACCAACTCCTCATCCAATGAGAACACAGCATATGAACCAGTGAACTGCTGGATGGGTGTACAATCTTTTATTTATTTTTATTTTAGAGTTTTTTTCAAGGTGTCTAAAAGGTGTAATGTGCTATGTGGCAGCTATGAGTACTGTGTCTTTATTCCAGGTGTGAAACAATGCTGACAAATCAAGATTTTATTATTTGGCTATTTAAAAAAGTGAACTGTATTTATGACACTATATAGACATAAGTAAAGCTGTTTTTTAAATACTTTGGTTGTTGTTTTCTTTGTGAAGTTATCACAGTCAACCTATCCCGCTGGTGACTAAAGTTACAATCTCCAAGATCTCCTTTCTTTCTACTTGGTGGCATCTATAGCAATAAGCACCATTTTCTTAGCACCTGTCACGCAGCCTGTTTAAGACTGGACTGTTACGCCCTTCAAATTTACGGACACATACCTTTTTTACCCCACTGAATTGGGGGGACACTTGTAATTGTTTTTTAAGCCTTGTAATTTTTTGTGATCACCCTTTTTTTGTTTGGCCTTAGTAACCTTCAAAACCATTACGGCTTCAAACACAAGGGAGATAAAGAGTGAGTCTGTTGCTATGCCAACCAAAACCTGGCAGACCGACCACAGCCAGGTGATTGAAAACGGTCACTAACCGCTTGTAATTTCTGGGAATGTCACCACAATCATCCAAGGGCTTTCATGAGTGAGCCACGGGCTTGAACACCATTGTGCTACTACCTCTTTTGGCGATAGAGGTGACTCAACAGACCTTTTTTGTAATTAAAACCTCTGATATTAGGACCTTAGGAAAGTGACAAATATTGTATTCAAAACAGTCTTTATTGCAAGAATTGGACAGGAAAATATCCCTTTTCAGAACATCTACAAATACACAACAATCTTAGTTATAAAAGTCAAAAATAAGTTAGCAAAAAATAAAATGGCAAAACCACTCTGTAGAAAAAGGGAACGTATTTACATCACTAGCATTCATAACCAGTTTAAATTAAGCAGATCTTGGTCAAAACTGCCATGGTACATATTGGCCCCACAAATAAACTCATGGTTTTTTTAAGCATAACACACACAAAAAGAATGAAAGATCAGGGAAAGATTTCGAAAAGAGGAAAGACTTAAATTAAGTAAGAAGAAAACCAGGCTTTATCACTCCTCTGCGACTGTATCATGCTGAAGGTAAGCCTGACAGAGGTCCACTCTAGTAACTAGTTGTTGGGTTCATGCAGTAAAGTCCTTGAATCTCTTAGACTAAGCTCCCGCGGCTCTGGTAGACAGGTCTGGACCGCCGGATAAGTCAGGGAATAAAGGGAATAAGGCCTCATTGAGAAAAGAAGGAATTCAGTTTGGCTTGCAGACCCATTGATCAGCAGAGTAACAATTACAAAATATATATTTTAAAGTTTTAGCATAAGACACTTAGATCAATAGAGCTGGAAAATAAATTAAATTGAACCGGTTATCAGTTTGATTTACCAATTATCTTTTTTTGTCAGTAGCTCTATGTGCACCTATGGGTCCGCAGTGTTGGAGGGTCTACTTGGAAAGTTCCACAGAAAAGGCCACCGATGAGCCTGCTGCAGTGATGCTGTCCACAATGGAGGTCAGGGCGCGCATGTTCCCCTGCTCCGGAGAGTCAGCGGCACTCAGGAGATCTGAAAAAAAAAAAAAAACAGTCACACTTTTAGTATCTGAGACAAGATGGATCTGTTTGTTCTGTGTAATGAGAGTGTGTGTGAACAGGACTCACCCTCGCTGCTGTAGCTCTGCGTGCACTGCTCTGGAGTGCTGCTCCACTCGGGGCTGCTGCAGCAGGTGCTGCCTGAACTGGGCTCACTCGACGACACCTGTTACCATGGAGATGCACACACAGAAGTCGCTGTCAGTCACTGTGTGTTATGACACGACACACCCCGCCCCAGACAAGCACTACGATGCAATACCACACACACACACACCCCTCAGAGGTAAATGTAAATAATGGCTTTTCTGGGCTGATATATACAGCAGAGGATAAAAGAGATCTGACCATTAGCATTTCTCTTTTCAGTTTGGTATTATTATCTCCTTTAACCTTCAAGAAAGTGAACATATACTACAGTGTGACACATATCAACTGGATGATAATCTTAAAAATGTTAAATGAATGCAACATGATGACAGGAAGTGTATCTGTTTGACTGAACACATAAATGGAAATATCCCACAAAGTCTCAAAACATATCCACAGTGATCGATTCTGATAGAGGCAGTCTCACAACAGCCAACTTTTTTCCAATATATATCTATGTGCTGTATCTCTTCATCTAAATGTAATCCTAACACCTTGTGCCTCTTCGTGTATTTTGCCAATTTGTTCTTTCTGTTTTCATTTTGGCTCCCATCTCATTCATGATCATGACTTTCTGCTTCATCCTCCTTCCTCTGGTGTACTCACTCTGGGCAGGGTGGTGCTGGGTCGGTAGTGCAGTCCCTGCTGTCCTGTCTCAGTGTCCTGCTGGTTGAGTGAAGACACCAGCGCCTGCAGCCTCTCGATGTACTGGATGGCGCTCCGCAGGATCTCCACCTTGGGCAGCCTCTGGTTTGGGTTCATCAGGGTGCTCCTCTTCAGAGCTTCAAAGGCCTCGTTCACCTTCTTCAGGCGCCTCTTCTCCCTCATTGTGGCCGCTCTCCGACGGTCCATGGTAACCGTCTTCCTTTTGCACAGCTTACAGGCCCAAGGCAGGCACTGACCCGGGCAGTGGGGCTCGGAGTGAGGGGACATGCTGTCTGGAGAGGCTTTGTCCTCTGTTCCTGTCACCCCAACTCCAACACCCCCAGACAGACTACCACACATGCCCATCATGGAGTTCCTATCCTGGTAGGAAGATTGGTCGTACCCCCCAGGCAGGCGAGAGGGGAAGTAGCTGTCCCCTCCCTCGTAGAAGCGCTGGTCGGGGTAGAAGTAAGGGTTGGTCTCAAAAAGCTCCATGCTGGACAACGCTGTGGTCTGAAAGGGGACAAAGATTCCTGCTTCCCCTTGGACTACGCTACGTGGTGTTTGGTTCTGCGCCTGGAGAGTGTGTGTCGGGTGTACGTGTGTGCGCCTGTCTTCTTCCTGGCCTGAGTTTGTGATGAGTGGAAGACGTGTGGAGAACAACTGGTGTGGAGCAACTGTAGGCTGGCATTTAAACCCCTCTGCCTGCTGCAGGATCACAGGGTTAAATTTAGCACGAGCCCCCAGAAACCTGACACGACGTTTAGCTGTTGCTGCACATCTACACTTCACATCTTAGTTGGGCCCTGCTCTCTAGGGCTTTAGGGCCCGGGTGTGCGTGTATGCGCCCTTGTGTAGGTTTGTGCACTCGTGTGTGTCTTAAGAGGCCAGGATATGATCAAGTTGCCGTGGAAATGGGAGAGATAACCTGGGATCAAAGACGACCGTCTTAATGAGCTAATCCCAGACTCGCGTCTCCCTCCATGACACCATGCATAAAGTCCCCTGGCATGGGTGTAGAGGAGGGGGAAGTGGGGACAGTCTGGAGACAGCTGTCACTTCTACTAGGAGCCAATGATAAGCAATGACAACAAGTTGTTTGGCTCCTAGTTGTAGATGTAAAGGAAGTGATGCCAAAGCTGTTGTTTAGCTTGGTCGCAGATAAACATTTATTGTGGTTGAAGGTTCAGAGTTATGTCCTAGGTCAATACTAAACATGTAAAAGCTTATTTGCCATGAACACTCTCGCCATAATTGGGCATTTGTTTTTATGGAACCACATTCATATCTTCTGACTTTCCTCCTAAGATGATTGCACAGGGTGATGCAAGTGACCTTCGGGAAAATACTGGACTCGCGTTCAGACAGGCCTGTGCAGGAATGGACGGAGTATCGTCAGCCACAGTAATTTGAGAAACGAGTTGACACTGGGTACCATTACTCTCAGAAAGCGAGGGACAATAATCAGACGACCACGCAGAGGTATGGCCTTCGTTGTCCTGACCTCTTTCAGTTAGTGGCGGTGTTAGCCTAGCCACCGGGTGTTAATCCTTCCAGGACGTGTCTCACCTCATAGCTCAGCAGCTAATTCAGACTTGCTTCCGCTAGTATAGACAAACATCCAAAATACACACTTCTGTCAGCAGAGAAGTGGCCTGGAATGACAGGCATAGTGTGAGATGTGTTGCATCCCTGTGAATCCCATATTACTACCATATGTTTATTTTCAAAATGTGTTGTATGCCTCCGTGCCAGTGACAGCTGGGACCGGAGGCTTTATGTTTACTGTTTGTCTTTCCGTCTGTCCCATTGAATGCAATATCTCAGAAAGGCCTGGAGGGACTTTCTTTGGATATGGCACAAACACCCTCTTATTCTCAAGGATGAACTGATTAGATATATGTGGTTATAAGCCAAAATGAAAAGGTCAAAGGTCAAGGTCACTTTAAAAAAGAAAAAAAGACGTGTGGCCAGAATTCATACTTTAATTATGACCCTTTCACACAAATGTCTAACAGATAAAATGATGAAGTGATGACATGTTGTGCAGACATGGAAGTAAACTTCATCTTGACTGGTATGTGGAGGCACACAACTGCTAAGAGGTTCTGTAGGCAGTAATACATGTGTAGCCAGAAAACTGATAAAAGGCACTGATATATTTTAAGTAACATTTTGTATTTAAATGTAATGTTTAATTATTAAAATTGAATGGAAAGTAATATATGAAGCTAACCTAACTTTAACCTCCAGTTGATCATTTAAAGTCTGAATTATTAACGAACTATTCTAATAATTTTCCCTAGTTAAACTCCAATATTTCCTGTCTTCCTCACCAGATTTTAAACTTTCCTTTATTCTTACACATAGATTACCATAATTAACCAGGCCTCGAGAGGAAGTAGATCCCCTGAAAACTCAAATGCACACTAAGCACCAGCCTATACACTTAGCCTATCTAGCTACAACTTTGTTTTATAAATCTCCCAGTGTCAGTGTAGATAGTAAATAGTGTGGGTAATGTTATTCATCCATATACTGTACACTGTCGTAGAATCACTACAGTCTCTTGACAGCTGACAAAGTTGTCACGAGAACGGTAACAATGTTGTTGGTTTATGCAATTTTAAATTTCACTGGAATTAGAAAATGAACTTTAAGTAGGTAATTATAAGAATAATTATATATTTGTGACTTACTTTCTTTCTTCTTTTTTTGGGCTGCATTACGAGCTGCACCTTTGAATACAGCACAGTGCCCTGTTTCTTCAGATGTTTCCTCTTTGCTTTGTATGTCAAAATGTAGTTCCTCAGACTTAAAGTAATGGCATCTTGGGCTATTTTATCCAACAATCACAGCACCATATGATTATTACTGTGTCATGGCAAGCATTTTGACATTAGAAATAGAGCAGGCGTAATTAATAACACTAATTATGGGTACATTGTGTTTAATACTTCAGTTCCTGGGTCATGGCGTGGGCTGGCTCAAGGGGAATAGCTGACTGGCACACCTACAGTACATGGAGCAGAGCTGTAATCATTCTAATTAATTACACCTGTGCTCTTCCTGCTATCACAAGTGAACATGTCTGCTGGGAGAAAGGCCTTTTAGGAACCTGACTTGTAATTAGTGCTTTAGTAAAGGCAGTTGCTCAAGAGACTTACATATTATGTTAAAGAAACACATACAAAGTTATAACAAGCAGGACAAGCCCACAGCATTTTTTTTACTGGAGCCTGGTTTGAGGGATCAAGCTGTAATTCACCACTTCCTTCTTTTATTGTACCTATTCCAGTACATTACTTATTCTATATATATTGTTTTATACGTTTAGGGTGTTAACATTAGATAGATAGATAGATAGATAGATAGATAGATAGATAGATAGATAGATAGATAGATAGATAGATAGATAGATAGATAGATAGATAGATAGATAGATAGATAGATAGATAGATAGATAGATACAATAAGGTACAAATATTATAAACAAATACAAATCAATATTAGCGTCAAGTAAGGGGAGTACGAATATAAATTTAAATAAAAAAATGAACATTAGCAGCAAGTGTATACAAATTTACAATAGAAAAGATCAATATACAGTCTCACTAGGCTACAAAGTATAAATAAATATACAACAGACACATAATGGCATTGTATTAAGAACACATTAAATTGTGCAAAGTAGCTGTTGTGCAAATTGTTCTGGGTTGAAAATGTAACATTTTCAAACCAAACTTATGTATTTTACTTTGCCTCTCAGCTATGAGTGAAAGTATCCCTCTGAATGTAAGATAAGATGATTTGTTGTACAGACAGGAGCCCTCTGGGACCCCCTCGGTCTGGCAGGACTGGCCCGCGGTCTCGTCCTCGGCTCCGGGTCGGGTTGGGGTTGAGGCAGAGTGCAGAGTGGAGGCTTGGCGCAGGACTGCGGTGGGCTGTCAGGTTAGTCTGTGATGGATAGTCACTGATGGTGGAGCGAGTACAAAGACGCCTGTGTTGCTCTCGGGGGGACAGCAGGGAGGGGGTCTGCAGTGTGTCAGAGTCACTCATAACACTCTGTCATCGTAAACCCATTGTCAGCAGAACTAGAGAACTTGCGCGTGTGAGTGTTTTCTAGTAGTTTTTGGCACACACTTGTGTCTTGTTTGAGGAACAAGTCCCCTCTCAGCATTTTCAAGTGAGCACTTGAGATGCAGTAAACCAGAGGTCGGTGTTTATTTACTGTTTGCAGAAACTGTACCTGTCTTCAATCCTATATTCAGGGAGGAAGTCAAACTAACAAAATAAATATCAGACACAATTTAAGTGACAATTAAAGATTCCAGAAAAAACAAATAAAATGCAAAAATAAAAAATGCTTTTAGGCCAGTTTGAGTGTGATTTAGTGTGAACAGTAAAAGCCAAATTATTTAAACACACAAAAAAATGTTTACTCAAAATCCCCTCAGCAAGCGTGCATGGGTCGTCCCTGTGTGTGTGTGTGTGTGTGTGTGTGTGTGTGTGTGTGTGTGTGTGTGTGTGTGTGTGTGTGTGTGTGTGTGTGTGTGTGTGTGTGTGTGTGTGCGTGTGCGTGCATTTGTGTGTGTGTGCTTGCATGTGTGTGTGTAACAGGGATTGCCCTGTCACTGGCAACACTGTTCCACTTCTCCTCGGTGACAAGCAGCAGCACATTGTGGGACAGCTGAGCAGGGGGAGAAATGGGGGGGAAGGGGGGAGGGATCAGTCCTCCTAACCCCAGGTTAGCTTCAAGATCATCACTGACCTGGAGAACTGTCATCTGAGCGCAGTCGGGAAATCTCAGATATGTAAGAGGAGAATAACATAACAACAGTGAAGTAGTGTTGATTAAAGGGGGATGAACAAGGACCTCTACCCTGAGATCCAATATGATACACAGTACCCACAAAACATGTACTACAGGAGTATGAGTGTTTGGTGATAAATTGAACAGGTTTTCTATTTTCTTAATTATAACCTTGACGTTTCAATGAAACATCTATATGATAGTAACACTTGTCTCTATTTGCTTTTTCTTTAAATATATGCTGAGACTTTTATTTGTTTGATTTTGAAGGTATTTGCTGTTGGTGTTCTCCAGAGAAAATACCTAAAGCTAATATTTGTAATGATAGGGGGAAAAGAACAAGCAGGGTTTGGGTTCAACTCTACTTGAACCTAAATAAATATGAATTATCATCTGAAAAAACATATTTATGTTACAATGGTTGAATAGATGTCTTGAGACACATGTTTACATTTTCCTGTACGCAGTGTTTCCTGCAGTTTACTAACAAGAGAACTCCGTAGATTAGTTGGCAATTATTTTTGAATTAATGAATTGGAAGGGTACCAATGATTAACTTCCCATTTTCCCTGAAATTACCATGAAAATACATTATATAATTTACAATGCATTGTAATATATATAAAGTTCCTTTCAAGCTAACTTATAAACAAGACTAACAAGACTTTTTGTATTTTGAATGAAATCTATTTTGAGCATTAACATAATGCAATTCATCGAAATCAATAACTTTTCTGTCAACATTAAAACCTGATCAACCATTATTCTATTATGAAATATCTAAGTACAGATGATGGGTGCTGTAGGAGCAACATG